GAAAAATTCGCAAGAAACATCTTTACTTCTAAATACATAAATTCGCAAATAAAAGAAAACGGATTTTAACACTTGTGACAAACAAACGGATGTGTTAACTTGTGACAAACAATCTGTAAAGCCTAACATCAATAAAGTAAAACAACAGCAGAAATATTTGCTTACTTCGCAACTGGGTCAATATGTCGCGGCCATTCAATCTTGCCGGCCAAGATCTTCTCGTAAATAGCAAATGGATTCTCATCAAAGAAAGGCGGATATCTATATAGAAAAGACAGATTTTGATATGTTTTGTTCAATAAGCGAATCTCATATGTTTAAATATCGTCAAAAACAGAGTGCCCCAAACTTCAGCCCAAACAATAAACACGAACTGTTGAGTCGATGAGATTCTGTTTACTTATCGTCATTATTGAAAGTAAAATCAGTTTCGAAAAAAATCAAAATTAATATTGAATGTTAATACAAGATGGATAAATATTTATTCTTAATCAGACTTCTCTCACTATATTAAACTTACGCTTCTATATATGAAACTGTTATTTTGCTTCCTGCAGATATGTTTAACCTAACTTTTAATAGATTTGAAAATGTATATACATGACTAATTTGATACTTTGAAATTTTAAATCTCATTAATACAGCGTGGTATTTATAAATATAGTTTACAGTTTACCAAACTATGTAATTTTTAATTATTCCTACACTGCTCCTCGTTTCTTTTCTTTACGAACCTCCTTAAAATTACTACACAGCATTACCCGCCACAGAAAACTATGTTACAGAAGGTGGAAGAGGTCCTTCAAGGAATTAAAGTCGCACTCAATGTGGAATAATTTATTGCCTGTGTAGTACCGTAAACTCGTCCTAGGTGGCGCCAGTATTAATAGAAGCTTTCTTTTTATGAAAACAGATGTCAGATACATACACATATATATATATATGCTCGAATCTTTGCGTTAAAATGATTAAATTGACAAAGATAAAAAGTGGAAAACAACAGGCTTTGCGATCTCACCCGGCTAGCATTTCATATATAAGAATCCCTAAAGCCCACCAATCTACAGCCTTGTTGTGGCCTTTACTCTGGATGATTTCAGGTGCTAAATATTCAGGTGTTCCACACAACGTCCATGTTCTGAAAAACAATAAGCAAATTAATTTTTAGAGTTTTGTTTATTACTAGTGTGTCTAATGATAATATTTTAATACGTTATTAGTGTTTTGTTATATGAAAAAAATGTTCTACCTATAAACAACTGAACAATATGATGATTATCAGAAAACACTATGATGTTGCTGATAACATAAGGTTCCATGGGTGAACATTCTTTACGTTATGTTATTTATGGATCCGGTAAAGGATCCTTCATGTTCATCATTACAATATAAACTACAATACCAATAGAAAATAGTGTTCAGGTCACAAAAATACGTCATATGGTCAGGAATAAACAGCGTAAGGTGTTTCTTTTATATATATATCACATATAAATTATTTATTAATTTAATTAATTAAATTAAATTAAATTAATTAATTAATTAGGTAGAAAATATTAAATATTCCATAATTACAAGACTATACGAGTGAAAACAATATAATACTGCGATCTTGTTACTTTCAGATTGTGTTTGTGAAACCATAGAAATTATTAGTAAGAATTACAAAAAAAGCAATAAAGTAATTAAGAGCTATTAAATAATAAAATATTATGGAATAAATTACATTTCTATGATAACAGGAGAAAGTATAATTAGAATAAGATTTTAATTAAAAAAAGGAAAGTACACTGGATAAACTTTAACTAATTGTATTTATTGTTGAAAATTTTTAATATACTTAATTAAAACAAGAAATGTATTATATGTTCGTACTATTGGAAAATATATTTATTTAATTTTGTTTATGTATGTTTAGTTGAAAAACGGTATTTGAATGTTTTCTCGGTAAAATTATATCCTGAAGAGTGACCTTTGAAATCAAGAAACCGAAGGCGAAACTTATTTGTGTTTTGGTTCTATATATGTATAGACATATATATAGTAATGTATAAATGTGTGTGTGTTATATATATGCATATGCATGAGTACATGCGCGCGTGTATGGCACTTCATGATGTCAATTAAATATAAAAGAAGCCAGATATCTAGGCATCAGTACATAATTTTTTAAACTGAGCAGATGGTTCTGTCTCTAACCTATGTTTGTGAACTATTTTCACTGTTCGTATGTCTTACGCCCCCAGTGGCACAGCGGTATGTCTGCGGACTTACAACGCTAGAAACCGGGTTTCGATACCCGTGGTGGGCAGAGCACAGATAGCCCATTGTGTATCTTTGTGCTTAATTACAAACAAAACAAACGTATGTCTTACATATATATACTGACGTTTTTGTAACCTTATCAGAAGGAATTCATTATTAAGTAACATTTTTCGTCTGATCTGACCACACTTGCCAAATTTTGAAACTTTCATGTTACGTGTTGTAGGAATGAAACTGAAGGTAGAAAATAAGAAAATTCACTTTACCACATTCACTTGAGCATCACCAATGGTTTTGTTTTTATTCAAGTCTTTTAAATGTTCCTCAGCACTCAATAACATTTTAGTCTTAGAGAGATCTCTATATAACTTTGCTAAAATTTGGTGTATTGACTAATTACAAATAGACCAGTGGGATAAAGAATAAAAAAATAAGTAATCATATTTCAAAGTTTGATGTTCCCATTCATCTGTTGCGTAACTGGTATATATATGCTTTTTAATTGTTTAACGTTCCCAATGTTTCTGTGCAGTAACGTTTTTGTTGTATAACAATATATATTTGGCTACTGTATCACAATATCATGATGCTGCTGCCTGAATGGTGTATGTCTGTAAGAGAAACATAATATTACTTTCAAAAGAGAAATAGGTCCTTCGTTTAATATTCTATTGAAATCTTGTTACTTTCAAATTGTGTTTGTATGTTATTAGTTAGGACAATCAATAATATTAAAAAATACCAGTCGATGAGATACATCCGCTATATACAAAAATTACCTTTTAATTAGACAAATCCGCTATAGAGAAATGTACCTCTCAATAAGATAAGTACGTTACAAAAAACAACAACAAAAACTTACCTGTTAATCAGATAAATTTGCTACAGAGAAACTTACCTGTTGATAAGTTCGTTACAAAAAAGTCTTACTTGTCAATCAGATAAATCCGCTACAGAGAAATTTACCTGTCATTAAGATAAGCCCGCTACAACAAAAATTACCTGTCATTGAGAATTTTGGCGAATCCAAAATCAGTTAACTTCAGATGGCCTTCCTTGTCTAATAGCAGGTTTTCAGGCTTAAGATCTCGATATACAATTTGTTGTTTGTGCAGATACTCCAGAGCTAGTACTACTTCCGCAGCATAGAAGCTTGCAGTGGCGCTACTGAAACGGCCAGCATTTCTGAGGTAAGTAAACAACTCGCCACCACACACGTATTCGAACAACATATAAAGTGAGTTGTTGTCGTGAGCTGTCGACGCCCTTCAAGAACAACAAAATGTTTTTATCAGTGCTGTTTAATTACCACAAAAATATCGTCCGCACTCCTTTCATAGCAGACCAAGTTAGAAAATAGCGTATAGATAAGAAAATTATATGTAGTTATACTATATATATATATATATATCTTAATTTTCGAATACAATGTTTTATCTAAAACAAAGTGTCTAAGTGAAGATATTCATGAAATAATCGTCTATGACTTTTTGTTACGAGATAAACTTTTAAGAAAAACTAATCAAATAGCAGAAAACAAAACGTACCGGCAAGAGTTATATAACTGGTGTTAAATTTGCTCATGATTCTCATAACAAAGAATTTTAAGCACTGAATGCACTTAAAAAAACCATTGCAGACGTCCTTTACTTCTTTAAAGCTATATTTAATGTGCATATATATATCTAAACAAAACAATAACAACCACACTTAGGTTGTAGCAAAGCAAGCAGTGGACAAAACAATAACAACCACACTTAGGTTGTAGCAAAGCAAGTAGTGGACAAAACAATAACAACCACACTTAGGTTGTAGTAAAGCAAGCAGTGGACAAAGGGATGTCGTCTAGCTTCATGTTTCATAATCACATTGTATATGAAAAAATACTTAATAACTTTGCATTCAATCACATCAAGTATAGGTTGCAATAAGTTGCATCTCTGCTTTATCGAAATGGTCCTTCAGTAAGTCTGAGTACTGACATATTTCTATATATGTACCACAACAAAATAAAGTAACGGATAAGTTAGTATGTTCTAACAATACTGTGTAATTAAATACCCATGAAAGTTTTAAGTGTATGTGTGTGTTATATAAACTGATGTATTTTAGTTACTACGAGAGTTAGTATGTTCTAACCATACTGTGTAATTAAATACCCATGAAAGTTTTAAGTGTGTGTTATATAAACTGACGTATTTTAGTTACTACGAGAGGTAGTATGAACAATTTTTCTGACAACATTACTTCAATAAAACTAATCATCTGACACAGCTGAGATGTCACTAGCCTGCAGCACGTGTCACAAGTGATTCAAACGATTGTTTAAATTTAATCGTCAACAATTCGAAGAATTGTGTACAAGGTTTTGATGGCTGTAAGTTGTATTATAATCAACACTAACAGTAAGTGAAGTAAGTTATAAAAAGTTAAGTACAAAAATGAAAACGAATTATGAATGTCCAAATTGTAAAAAAAACAGGAACATATATTTTAAACTCAACAGGTGTATTGAGTGTGTTCAAACAAATAAAGGTGAATACGTTGTAAAATAGAAACAGAAGTACTGGAAATAAACAGAATGTCTGTGATATTAGGCAGGGAATTTCTAAATGTATAACTGAAATGAATCATCTTAAATCATCAGTAGACTTTTCTTCAAATACAATTAATTAAGTTATAAAAATGATGTCAGAAATACTGTTCATCATAAAGGAAATTAAACAACAAAGTCAGGAACTTTTATTACAAATAAAGAAAATGCATCATGAAATGAACATCTCTAAAGAACAAGTTACTGACCTTCAAGAGTATTCAAGAAATATGAACATTCATATTAAAGAAGTACTAGAAGTACAGGAGGAGGATGCCAGAGAAATTATTCAGGAAATTGCAACCTGCTCATACAGTAACAGGAAATACAAAGAAAGAAACTAGGCCGGTTGTCGTACAGATTTTGAACAGACAACTTAGAAACAAATGGTTCAATAAGGAGGGAAGAAAGTGATTAAAACGACTGACATTTATGTAAATTATGAAGAAGGTCTAATAACATTTATAAATGAACATCTTATACCTGAACTAAAAGAAAACTTTTTCAATAACTAAAACTACTGTTAGGAACATAAATCATAAGTTTCTTTGGATTAAAGAAGGAAACATTCTAGTAAGGAAACCAGAGTACGAAAAGGTAATAATAATTAAAAGTGAGCAAGATTTAATTAAATTATAAGATAGCGTTAAAACAACTAATATACACAGCGTGGTCACAAGTAAATAAACACCACCTTTTCAGAAAAAAATGAATTTTTTCAGTCATATTCACATCATTTGATATATTTATAATTTAATTAATATCTAGTAGATCTTCCTTTCGCTTCGTGGAGTTCGTTGATCCTTTGGGGCATCATGAGAATCATCTCGTCAATTTTGGATTGTGGGATTTTCACCCACTCTTGCTTCAAAACTTGGAGTAGATCGCTCTTCGAAGTTGGTTTTTTGGTTGTTTCTTGACTTGCCGGTCGAGTATGGCCCAGGGTTCATGTCAGGAGATTGGCTCGGCCAGGGCAACTTCTGGATACCATTTTCTTCCTGCTACT